CCTGGAAGAGACCTGTTGCCTATCAGGTGACCGGACCCTGTGGCAGCGGGATGGTCAGCGTGCTTCCAGGCAGTGGCCACCACAGCATTGCTGGTGAAGGAGGCAGATAAGTGGACTCTGGACCAGGAGCTAACCTGGATGGGTCAGGCTTTTCTCCTGGACCAGCCCTGTGTCCGGATTCATAAGACTCTGGCCATCAACCCTGCCAGCCTGCTTCCAGATGATGATGGAGGAACCCATTCATGACTGCACAGAGGTAACAGACGACAAGGTACCGTTCACGGATGGGAGCAGTTATGTTCAGAATGAGACCTGATATGCAGGGGCAGTGGTAGTCACTCTGGACCACACCATTTGGGCACAGTTCCAGAACTTTTGGCCTTAATCTAGGCCCTTTTATGGAGACACTGTGCCATCCACAGAGAAAATAGGGTTACCAACTGCAGCCAGAAGGAATCGGCTGAACAGAAGCAAGTCTCTGACAGACCAGATGGTTGATGGACCCTCCAGATGACAAGACTGTTGGTCCCAGAGGCTCTAGGTCAAGTTGCCCGGTGACATCAGGTTAAGTGTCACCAAAACTTCTGAACTTCTGTGAGGCAGAGTTGCTAGAAGTATTGTCTGTACACAGGTAAATGCTAAGCAAGGTAAGGGGGTCCCCCTGGAAATTCGGGTCCAGGGAACTTCCCCAGGAGAGCATTGGTAGGTGGATTTTGAAGATTAAACCACCAGCATTAAGGTCTAGTTTTTGTAGACACTTCAGATTAGGTTGAAGTATACTCCACTAAGACAGAAACTGCCTCTATAGTAGTCAAGAGATTACTTCAGGAGATTATAGATTTGGGCTGCCAGTATCAGATAACAGCCCCACCTTGGTAGCTAAGGTATCTCAGAGTATAGCTCTAGCCTTAAGACAGGAAAAGTGAGACTCTAGAAAAAGGGATTTAATTAAATGTGTCCTAGAATCGGTGAAAATTGGACCAACCCCCTGTCCTTTGCCCTCTTGAGGGCCAGGTGTACCCCTTACTGGCACAAGTTTCCCCTATTTTGGGAGGGGATCATGTATGGTAACCAATCCCTTGCTCAAGTCCTTACAGGTTCTGCAGTTTGCTTGTTCCAGATGCACTGCCAGTGCCCACCACAGACCCTGTAGCCCCGGAACTCAATGTGGGTAAAGAAATTCGCTGCCCAAGGACTCAAAGGGATGCTGCACTGTTATCCTGAGCATGCCTACTGCTGTTGAAGTAGATGGCACCCAGACCTGACTACAAGACTCCCAGTTCCTGCATGGCCTGGATCCTGGCAACTACAGGCCAGGAGGAGAACTGATGCCTGCAGGAGAGGAACTGGACTTAGTGAGGACAATACTGATGGGAACTGTGGTACTAAGGGTCTTGGTAACTGTATTTGTTGTTTATGCTGAAAAGAAGTAGGCTGAGTCAATGATTTGACTAGGCACATCAGACAAGGGGGGAATAAGAAGGCAGGGCGGGGTGAGGATGAGCTCCCGACTCTGCTCCGCAGGGCAGAGTTATCCCTAGCCCTCACCCAACCAATCAGGGTTAGCCGAGGCAGTGACATCACCATCGACCGGAGTAAAAAACCCCTGGACTGGAAGAAATTCTCTCTCTTCCGCCATGCTGCCGGCGTGAGTTGGGGGGCCCATGCTAGCATGGTAAAGGCTCTTTTGTTTATTGCATTGGACTCGGCTCCCTGGTGGTCCTTGGTGATCACGAAGTCTGGGCGTAACACCAGGAAGCAGTATCTCAATGAATTGGGAGAGTGCTCCAGAGAACAGTGTTTTTTTCATCTATTTGTATACATACCAACACAGTAGGGCACCAATGTGGGTTACATAAAATCCATTGATGAAAGATTAGAGAGGCAGGAGAAAGCAAAGTGGAGGAACTTCTGAGATTGGATAAAAAGTAAAATGATTGACACATACTTATATGGGTGCAGCTTAGGTAACTCAATGATAACAATATGATAACAATAACAATGAAGGAATTTGTCATATCTTTCTGACACCCAGACACATTAGGTTGTGCCCCAAGGGGTCTGGAAAAAGGGAAGTTACAACTTATTTCAAGGATATGTCATCATAGATAGAAAAACATAGATAGCCTCAGTTAAGATAACAGTTGACCTGTCAGTGAAGATACCAACCTAGGATGTAATTACCCACCATAACTGCTATTAGTTAAAGTTTCATTTCAGACCATCCTTTGTGGTTATTTTAGGACTCGGAGCTTGCAAGACCACCATGCAGGTCATTACTGAGCTTGTCAGGTTAACATGTGGCCCCTTTCATCCACATGAGTCAGAATCTGCATTTTTAGCATGACTTGCAGATTCTTCCTATGTACAGGAGATGGGGATGGTAGTCCCCATCCGCACATCATGGGATCTCATTCTGCATGGGCATCCACTATAGCTGGACAGCTGCCCAAGCAGCATTTCAAAAATATCCTCTGGGCATGGAAATCTTTAGAAAGCTCCATTGATGATACCATACAAAACCGGATGGCATCCCTGTGAAAAGAATTCCTAATGTCCCCCCAAGCTTTTGCTCTGAAGATAAGATGCAAATGGGGATGAGAGAAGGCAGTGGGAAGGCTACTGTGAACTCCACACAGAGCTGTGGGAAACACCCTGGATAAATACACTCCCAAGCTTCTGTTTGTCCAATTGTGAGCAGTGGAATGGCACCAGGTGTTAACCTACTGAGTTAGACCTTCAGTTCAGCAACCGTGGGACTTGACTTCAGCTACGAATGAAGAACTCAAATTATACGAGAGAGTTTATTTAGAAAGTCATAGAGGTAGAAGTGAGCTGTAGAAGAAATGGGCTCAGGAAACTAGTTACTGAAGCAAAAGAAGGACCCATGGAGCTTAAGAGAAAGAACAAATATAAGTGTCTTGAGGAAGAAAGAAGTGGGGACAAGCACCGATGTGTTCCAGAAAGAGCCGCACTAGGTCCTTCTTATTCAGGGCAGTTATCTGGAGGTCTCAGTGAAGGATCCAAAAAAAATATTCATCAGCTTTCCAGGTGTGTCCTTTCAGGGTCGAAGGTCCTGAGTCAATGCAGTAGATCCTAATGTCAGCTATGTCCTGACTCATCTAATTTTGCTGCTTTTCTGGGCCTAGAGCTGAAACACAACTGAGGCCCAGCTGTATTTCATGCCAGTCAGAATCTTATTCTCCTGAAGCGTTATTCTTAGGCCTCTGTTTTCTACCCCCTCAAAGGACGTCTAATCCACATGACTAAGAACATGCCAAGGGAGGAAAGGTCAGAGAAGGATCTCAACCACATGTTGAGTCTCAATTCAGCAGAGTCTCAATCCAACCCCTAGCTCCCTCCCCATGACCACGACAATCAGTAATATGAAAAGTCTGAGGGTCTAATCTACAAAACCAGGATATGCTTGGGGAAGAAAGATTACCCAGGGAGCAAGGACAAAGTCCAGTTTGCAGGATACCCAGGTGACCTTCCCCTACTGGCCTATTGTCATACTCTACTCAGACCTAATTGCCTACTACACAAGCAAGGTGTGTGTGTGTGTGTGTGTGTGTGTGTGTGTGTGTGTGTGTGTGTGTACATGGGGAGGAGTCACTGCGGTAGAAGGTAGAAGCCTCAGCAGTTACAGGGAATGAAAATGTAGAGGAAAGAAAAGGGGAGGCAGGAATAAAGAGACAACAGGGAGGAACCTGAGTACAGACTCCACCCCTGGCCCATGTGATTAGGGAAGTGATATTGGCCCAGGAGGAGGCTCAGTGCACAGAGAGGAGAAACAGCACATCCCACCACCAGGACAGCGGTGCTTGTGAGCATTTCTGGAATCCAAGCTCTTCCCACAGAGGGAGGGACAGAGCAGGCAGCAGATACCATGGATTCCCCCTCAGCCACTGCCCACAGAGGACTTGTCCCCTGGAAGGGGCTCCTGCTGGCTGGTGAGAGGGGACAACTACCTGGTGGAGGAAAGGAAGAGAATAGGCACAGGCTAGCTGGGCACTGCTGGATAGCATGGCTCTCTCAAAGAAAACAAATGGGGAGGGACCTTCTGTTTGGACTTGACGAGAGAAGACAGAGGAGCAGAGTAGGATGGGGAGGGAACTCAGCAATAGGAAAATGATGTGGAAACAATGAGGGAAAGGAAAACCTCAATGACTGCTCAGTTCCCAACTTACTCATCACTGAGAGTTGAATGCTGAAAACTTCAAATAACAATTTATGTGAGGAGATGGGAGATTTAACCAGGGGCACTAAACATTGTCCTTACCACTGAGCTCAGAAATGAGCAGATACATCCCAGGAGTGGCAGGGTCCTGCAACACTCACTCATTCACCCAAGGGCACTTATAGCCTATTGCAGGCACTGGGTGTGCAACAAGGTCAGACAAGCACCTGCTCCAATGAAGCTCATGTTCTTTGTGAGGAGGCAGACAAGAGAAGATCTAGATGTGATGTCAGGTACCCCCTAGTGCCCTGCAGGGAATAGCCCAGGGACAGGTCAGAAAGTGAAGACAGAGGCCTTTAGAGGAGGTGATCAGGGAACAGGTCTCCCAAAGACACCCCTAAGTATCAGCAAGTGTCTGAGGGCAGACATTTGAGTAACAGTATTCAAAGCAGAGGGAATAACAGGTTCAGAGGTGCTTGCTGAAGTATTGGTGGCCATGCTGCTGATCTTGACCACAGGAGACACACACACAAACACACACACATACTCTGGCCAAGGCTGAGAGATGAAAAGACCTGCTCAGGACCCATGGACTCATCTCTCCATCCCAATACATAGCTCCTAATATTGATCAATTTCTCTCTTCCCTCCTAGCTCACTCCTAACCTTCTGGAGCCTGCCCTCCACTGCCCAGCTCACTATTGAATCAGTGCCACCCAATGCTGTCGAAGGGAAGGAAGTGCTTCTCTGTGTCCACAATCTGCCTGGGGGTCTTGAAATATATGCTTGGTACAAAGGGGAAGTAGTGGAAAACAGTAAAATGTTATCATATAAAATAGTCACTCAATCAACCAACTATGGGACTGCATACAGTGGTAGAGAGACAATATACCCCAATGGATCCCTCCTGCTCCAGAACGTCACCCTGAAGGACACAAGAAAGTATATCCTACAAGCCACAGACAAAGAATATGATACCAAACAAGTAACTGGACAGCTTCGTGTGTACCGTGAGTGATTGCTCTCTTACCTCTGGGTGCTGGGTGGGGTGAATTATACTTCACACACAGGACTGACAACCCTGGACTCCCCCTACAAACTCCTCCAAATCATCTCCGAGGTTGGGTTAGGGCATTTAGTGCAGGACACACACAGTGGAAACAAACTTCCTAAGGTCAGAGTTCCCTTCCCAGATTCCAGCCCTACACACATTCTCCTCAGAGAGAAGTATGATGGGAGTTACTCAGCACAGGGAGACTCAGCAGAGTCTCACTCCAGCCCCTGGTCCCCTCCCAATGACCATGACACTGAGAAAACCCTGCAGAGCTTGCACACACTCTGGCATGAGGGGACCCTGGAATCCTCACAGAGAAGCTCAGCCTGGGAACCCCACCCAGACCCTTGTCCCAGGGCTCCTGACTCCAGGGAACCTGGGGAGCCTGGGTCTGGTTGGGTTTGACCTCCTGCAGGGCTGGGAGGGAGGCTCTACACCTGCTCACCTGCCAAGGCTCAGCCCCAATTGCCACATCAGGACAGGGACAGAGCCTAGTCCTTCAGCTAAGGCAGTGTCAGGAGAGCACAGATAGACGAAATACCCCATTCTATTAGCTAACACTTCTGAGGGACTTAGGAGACTCTGGAGGGAAGTCAGGTCTCCAGGAAAGAAAAGATGGGATAAGATGCTCCTGGCAGCTCCTTATCCACCAGGGTCAGCCCAGGAATTCTCTCTCATGGAGACAAATAATGGCAGTGGCCATTTCAGTCAGTGTCTCCTCTAAACTGAGCTTGAGGTCAAGTACTCAGGGATGTTTTAAGGTCAATCCACAGACAATGTGGCAATCCAGAGTCCACTTAGCATTTGTTCTGTTTTTATCCAGGGGAAACTGAGGTACAGTGTGATACAGTCATTGCATCAGGCTCACGCAGACACAGCCAGGTCCTTGCACAGTCATAGCCCACCCTCTCCTCCACCTGAGGGTCTTAGGTGCCTGTGTCCCTGAGACCAGCCATTGGTTCAATGCTTTTTCTTAACAGTCCCAAGTCAAGGTAGATTTTCTGGTCTGGTGATTAAACAAGTGGAGAATTAATTTTTACTCTAGAATCAAATTACCTACAATAACATTCAGAGTCAGTGCTGGGATCGCCCAGGTCTTCCCCTCAGGTTTCCCATCTACCCCTCCCTACACTGGACTTGAAACCACTTATTTCTCTCTTGAGGTGTTGGTGTCACTCCCACTAGCTATGAATGAAGGGTCGTTGCCTTCTCCCCACTGTCCACCTGCTAAAGCTCAGGCACCAGCACTCACTTGCTCTTTCATGAAGGAGGGAAGAAATGATGGTGAATAATGATAGAATGAATGAATGAATGAATGACACATTATTGCCTCAGAGACTGGAACCTGGATGCAGAGTCCTAAAAGGTGTCCTGTCCCTACAGGTGCTGAGAGCTATGTCCATCCCTCTGACCTCTGTCCGTGTAGCCCCCTCAGGAGCCAAGTCCCTTTGTACTGTGGGCTGTTCTACTCTAAGAAGGTTTCCCAGGCTTCACTGCTTCTGCCCTGGGGCAGCTGTGGGCCTTTGAAGTCACCTGTGTCCCCCACTGTTCACCAAGGACATTCTGCCTCCCTCTACTCCTTCCATGACCCTTATGTGCCTCCTCCTTCATGCCAGACACATTGCCTAGCTCTGCTCTGCTTCCTCCACCAGGCAGTCTCCCCAGATTGTCCTGCTAACAGCTGTGTCCAGGCCCACCTTCCCAGGCAATAGGAGAGGACACAGAAAACAGAGGAGCAGCAGCCCTGGCTCAAGAGCTTCTCCTGGGCCGCATCAGGGCTCCTATTCTCCATGAGGCCAACAAGAGGAACAGACCATATGACAAGGGCATGTAAACCATTGACCTACTCTCTACATGACTCAACCAGGAAGTCAAAGGCAAAAGGACAGGTCTGATTCCCCAAAGTTCACGGGTTCACTCCACCTCTGACTGGTGACTCACACCCTTGTCCTCTTGTGAGACTCCCATTCCTTACACTAGCTCCGGAGACCTTTCCCAGGTGAGCCTAGTGACCCTGGGCCATATTTTCTCTTGATGACACCTTGACCACAGAGTGGGATCCTCTCAGACTGTGAGATTCACCAGCCACTCTCCTTTCTCTTAGACGCAGCCCATTTGAATGAATTTTATTCAACTCCAGTTGTTTCCTGAGTTAGAAAGACAAGAAAGAGCACATGCCATGTGCCCATGTAGGGGCTCCTCCCCATCTGCCTGACTGTCCATAGAAGCAGGGAAGGACCTTCTTCCTAACTTTACTAACATGGCACGAGTCTTTTCTACCAATTTGGTGTTATCCCTCCCTTTACACAGCAGAGACACCTGGACTCACACTTCCCCACACGCCCCATCACTTCTGTTCTCTTAGCAGGACTCACCTTCTCTCTATCCCAGGGAGTCCCTGATTTCAAACCCACTGTGGCATCTCCCTTTAGTCACAGTGTGACCTGATTGGATGGCAGAACGTGCTCTATGACCTTGGTGCTCTCTAGATAGAAATTCCTCCAAAAACTGGCATTAGAACTTTGGAGTATGAATGATATTCACTTGTTCTTTCAAAGTTGAACTCAGAATCTATCTCATAACTGACAAACACAAATGGCCCATGAGGGCCATATTTTCAGCAAGTTCATGCTCCCGGAACTTCCACTAATCCCCCTTCTGTACGTGCTGTTGTCTGCTTGTTGAGGAAGGATCCCTGCCCTCTGCAGTGCCAGAATGGACATTACAGACCAAGGCCAGAGAGCATGGCTCTACTGTCACTGCCAACCAGTTCCCCTGTCCCTCACTCTTGACTAAATCATGGCCCTGCAGGCTGGATAATAAATTGAATGCCAGATTTGCTTCTGGTCTCCCATGTACTGCTTCTGCTCAGATACCCAGTTCAGGGCCCTTCCCTAGTCTTCAAGGGGGACTCTCATCACCACTCTGCATAGGGAACCCCTATTCACCAGTCAACCTAACGTGTAGGCTGTGTCATGTGTCACCACCTCTCCCTCACTGGACCCTGAAATGGCCAGATGGTCTTGCTCTGGGAAATGACCTTTCACCCCTGGCTCTTGGGAGTTAAAGAACCATCCCCTCCTGGAAGAACAGGCCAAAGCTTCCTCCCTACTGGGTGCCAGCACCTCCTGTCTCTGCTCCCAGGCCAGGGTCCCTCTGAAAGCTCTGCTTTCTCGGTAAGTGCATCCCCTCCCTGTTTCCTCACCCAGGGCCTCAAAGACCCATCCTCAAGGCAGGGCACCATCCAACCTCAAAAAATAGCACAAACCCCTTTCCCAGAACAGCCAGCTCAAGAGGAGCCCAGCCCTGGCCTACTCTCACCCCACATCAGGGATGGACAGGGCAGGGCCAGAGTCTAAGGGGAACCCTGGAGTCCAGCAAGGAGCAGAATGGGCACTGGGAACACTAGGCAGAGGTCCCAAGCTAACAAGAGTGTGGGGGTGCAGTATGGGCAGAAATTGGGGTGCTGGGCTACAGGTATGAAGACAGCTGCTCAGGAGGCAGAGCTGTCAGTTCTTCAGAGTAACCCTCCCTCCTTGTTCTCTGATGTCCTCTCTCCCTCCTGCACAGGGCCCCCTACCCAACCCCAAGACTGCAGGCCCCATCTACTAGGTGAGTGTGGGGTATGAACCTTCTTCCTGCAGGCCCCAGGGGCCCCAGGACCTGCCTCCAGCCCAGCCCTGGCTGTGCTTCCAGCTCAGGAAAGGGCAGTGGAGAGTGACCACAGAGGGTGAGATGAGGGAGGAGCCTGGGGACAGACACCCCAGCACAGTCAGCCCCCAGGACACCTGTGAATCATGGCACTTGTTCTGAGAAGGCTGCAGGGCTCAGAGATCTCTTCTTTCTTTGACAGGAATTACTCAACCCAAACACAGAGGTGTACTGCCAGATCAGCCCCAGAGCAGACGTGGCTTCTTAGTTCTTCCAGAACCTGAGACCCCAGACCCTGTGGAAGTGGCCTGCACCAGAGAACCAGCTCTGATCATCATGCTAAGTGAAATAAGCCAATGGGAGAAAGATAAATATTACATGATCTCACTCATTTGTGGACTATAATGAACAAGACAAACTGATGAATAAAAGTAAAGCCAGAGGGGAAACATATGTTTGTTTGTTTGTTTGTTTGTTTGTTTGTTTGTTTGTTTGTTTTTAATAAATTTTTATTGTTCATATTATTACAAATGTTCTTTTCCCCCACCACCACCATTGCTCTCCTCCACCAGGTTCCCACCCCACCCTCTTCCCTTTCCCCATTCCCCGTTGTCCTCATCCATAGGTGCACAGTTTATGTTCAGTCTCTTCCCACATCCCCCTCTCCCCTTTTCCCCAAGAATCGTCAGTTCACTCTCCTTCCATACCTCTGATTCTATTATATTCAACAGTTAATATTGTTCATCAGATTTTTTTTAATTTCCTTGGTTTTTAGATTCACTGTTGATAGTTATGTATTTGTTGTTCATAATTTTTATCTTTATTTACTTTCTCTTCTGAAAGAACCCCCTTTAGCAATTCATATAATTCTGGTTTGGTGGTGATGAACTCCTTTAGCTTTTTTTTATTAGTGAAGCTCTTTATCTGACCTTCGATTCTGAGTGATAGCTTTGCTGGGTAGATTATCTTTGGCTGTAGGTTCTTACTATTCATCACCTTGAATATTTCTTGCCATTCCCATCTGGCCTGCATGGTTTCTGTTGAAAAATCAGCTGACAATCATATAGGTGCTCCTTTATAGGTAACTACCTGATTTGCTCTTGCTGCTTTTAATATTCTCTCTTTGTCTTTTGCTCTTGGAATTTTAATTATGATTTGTCTTGGTGTGGTCCTCTTTGGATTCCTTTTGTTTGGAGTTCTGTGCGCTTCCTGGACTTATAAGTCTAATTCTTTCACCAGGTGGGGGAAGTTTTCTGTCACTATTTCTTTCAGTATGTTTTTGATATCTTGCTCTCTCTCATCTTCTGAGACCC